CTCGAGTGGAAATTTGAAGAAAATTGATAATGAATTGGGGGTAGTAAAGATTAAGATTATGCTCTTTGTTAGTTGTTAGATCGTTTTATCGGTTTGGCCATTTTTCACAATTGACAATGAATTGGATAATAAAAATTAAGTTTATTCTGTCTGTCAATTGCTGGGTCTATCAGTTTGGCCATTTTTCTTTTACCTTTCTTCTTTTTTATATAATTATTATACTGTGATTTGTCGTCCGTTATTAATTGGTGCTCGAGTGGAAATTTTAAGAAAATTGATAATGAATTGGATAACGAAGATTAAGTTTATGCTCTTTGTCAATTGTGGGATTGTTTTATCAGTTTGGCCATTTTTCTTTTACCTTCCTAGTTTTCTTTTTATTACTGTGATTTGTCGTCCGTTATTAATTGGTGCTCGAGTGGAAATTTGAAGAAAATTGATAATGAATTGGGTAGTAAAGATTAAGATTATGCTCTCTGTCAATTGTTGGGTCTATCAGTTTGGCCATTTTTCTTTTATCTTTCTTCTTTTTTATATAATTATTACTGTGATTCGTCGTTCGTTATCAATTGGTGCTCGAGTGGAAATTTCAGGAAAATTGACAATGAATTGGATAATAAAAATTAAGTTTATGCTCTCTGTCAATTGTTGGATCTATCGGTTTGGCCATTTTTCTTTTACCTCTCTATTTTTGTTTTTATAATTATTACTGTAATTTATCGTTTGTTATCAATTGGTGCTCGAGTGGAAATTTGAAGAAAATTGATAATGAATTGGATAACGAAGATTAAGTTTATGCTCTTTGTCAATTGTGGGATCGTTTTATCAGTTTGGCCATTTTTCTTTTACCTTCCTAGTTTTCTTTTTATAATTATTACTGTGATTTGTCGTTCGTTATCAATTGGTGCTCGAGTGGAAATTTGAAGAAAATTGATAATGAATTGGGTAGTAAAGATTAAGATTATGCTCTTTGTCTAATTGTTTTGTCATTTTTCTTTTACCTCTTTTTTCTATTATTACTGATCTGTTGCTCGTTATCAATTAGCGTTTGAATAAAGATTTGAGGAAAATTTGTAATGAACTGACAGACGAAGACAGTTTGTGAGATTGTATTTGTTATTGCGATTGTGAAGGACATTTTTGCGCCAGCTCGATTGAGAAGGACATTTTTTTCTATCAGCGTCGCACCGGTGCAAGCTTTTCGCTCGCAATTCTTTTCACAGCCGATTTACATCACCGAGTTCCGTGATTGTTTTCTTTTTTTTTTTTTTTAAATTGACATTTCTTTCACCTGGATCCTAAATATGATATACAACTGTATGAAATTTAAGGTAATAGAAATTCTCGTAATATCGGAATGAACTGTTCCATTTTGTTTGCAATTCTTCTCGATCGAATCGTACTGTTAAATTTTGTCGAAATTTTTTCGAAATAATAATAATGTCAAAATCGAAGCTCGCTTACTTGCAGTAGAGAAAAATAGAGACAGCGACGATCAGCGTGAACAACGAGATGCTGTACCCAACAAAGTAGATCGTATTCGTGATCACTTCGGCACCTCCGTCGATCGTTGGCTCGCGAACGTTTCGACAGAGGCTGTAATTGCTGTAGCTGCTCCAATTACCGTCCACGCTGCACCAACGGCTTGCGTTCTCTGCAAATAATCCAAATTAACGTCATCAGTATTCTCGGTAGATCTCTGCGAAGGTACTCGAAAATGTCGAGTGCCTCGATGATCGGGTCGAAATCCTCGAGCAGTGTCGGGTTCCCGAAAATTTCGAGATTTCTGGAACAGTCGAGTTGCCGAAAATTTCGAGATTTCCGGGATAGTTGGGTTCCTGAAAATTTCGAATTTCCGGAACAGTCGAATTGCCAAAAATTTCGAGATTTCCGGAATAGTCGGGTTGCCGAAAATTTCAAGATTTCCGGGATACTCGAGTTGTCGAAAATTTCGAGATTTCCGGGATAGTCGGGTTCCTGAAAATTTCGAATTTCCGGAACTGTTGAATTGCCGAAAATTTCAAGATTTCCGGAATAGTCGGGTTTCCAAAAATTTCAAGATTTCCGGGATACTCGAGTTGTCGAAAATTTCGAGATTTCCGGGATAGTCGGGTTCCTGAAAATTTCGAATTTCCGGAACTGTTGAATTGCCGAAAATTTCAAGATTTCCGGAATAGTCGGGTTTCCAAAAATTTCAAGATTTCCGGGATACTCGAGTTGTCGAAAATTTCGAGATTTCCGGGATAGTCGGGTTCCTGAAAATTTCGAATTTCCGGAACTGTTGAATTGCCGAAAATTTCAAGATTTCCGGAATAGTCGGGTTTCCAAAAATTTCAAGATTTCCGGGATACTCGAGTTGTCGAAAATTTCGAGATTTCCGGGATAGTCGGGTTCCTGAAAATTTCGAATTTTCGGAACAGTCGAATTGCCGAAAATTTCAAGATTTCCGGGATACTCGAGTTGTCGAAAATTTCGAGATTTCCGGGATAGTCAGGTTGCCGAAAATTTCGAGATTTCCGGAACAGTCGAGTTGCCGAAAATTTCAAGATTTCCGTAACAATCGAGTTGCTGAAAATTTCAAGACTACCGGGATAGTCGGGATCCCGAAAATTTCGAGATTTCCGGGATAGTCGAGTTGTCGAAAATTTCGAGATTTCCGAAAAGGTTGAGAGTCCCAAAATATTTCGAGATTTCCGAGAAAATAATAAAAATCTCGAAATTCGTCAAACTGTTGGGTTCCCGAAGACTTCGAGATTCTCGAGACAGCCAAATTCCCCAAAAATCTGAAAATTTCTGGAAGTATCAGGTTTCCAAAAATTTCGAGATTTCCGAAAAAACTGAAGTTCCAAAATATTTTGAAATTCCCGAGAAAATAATAAAAATTTCAAAATTCCTGAAAGTGTTGGGTTCCCAAAAACTTCGAGATTCTCGAGACAGTCAAATTCCCCAAAAATCTGAAAATTTCTGAAAGCATCAGGTTCCCGAAAATTTCAAGATTCTCGAGACAGTCAAATTCCCAAAAAATCTGAAAATTCCTGAAAGCTTAGGGTTTCTGAAAATTTCTGGATTCCGACGAGAATCGGATTTCTCGAGAATTATGAAAACTCGAGAATATGGAGCAAAAATAATGATCAAATATTTGTGTTAGATGTGACCGTAACAGATTCAGTCTCGAAAAAAATTATTTCAAAAGTTATTTCGTCCTTTGCTCGAACCTTTACAATCTTCTATACTTTTCTCTCCCCCTATGAAATTGTAAAAACGTCTTTGAAAAGAACAAACCCAGATCGTGAGACATTGCACGTTTTTCTATACCCAGTTACAACAGGCAATAGTTGAAAATTTCAACGATATTTCAACGATATTAAATATTCTCTTCTCGAGCAACTAAATATAAACGCAACAAGTTTAGCAGCGGTTGAGGCTGGCTGATTTTTTTCGCGACGCGAATGTCGGTCGCTCGGTCGTCGTATTCGAGAAGAAAATGCCTCAACTGCGTTGATCGATGAGACTATGGAGGAAAAGGTCGTTCGCGAAGAAGCGTGGCGTGCAAACCAGGAGTTTCTTAATTATTAACACGAGACACACACAGATCCACGACGTTCTTCCAGTCGATAATGAACGAACAAGGATAATTTCGTGTTACGATGAACTTAATTCCACGATTTTTTGTCAGCCCGTGCTCGTTGAATTAATTATTATAATGTCGTTGTATATTACAATCTATTGTATATAATATCGTATATTATAATTTAAATGTAATATAGTATATCGTATATTATAATTTAGTTGTAATATAGTATATCGTATATTATAATTTAGTTGTAATATAGTATATCGTATATATTATAATTTAATTGTAATATAGTATATCGTATATTATAATTTAATTGTAATACAGTATTTAATTATACATTAAATTTATATCGTATATTACGTACATTATATATCGTATATTATAATTTAATTGTAATATATAGTATATCGTATGTTATAATTTAATTGTAATACAGTATTTAATTATACATTAAATTTATATTGTATATTACATATTATTACATATAACAATTTACATTATATTAATACAACTAATATACTAATTACTAATATATTAATTATATTAATGTAATGTAAATTGTTGTATGTAATATACGATATAAATTTGCAATAAATACATGCAATACAATTAGATACAACAAATATAAAACGTACTTTATACAATAGATGAAAAAACTTTTGATATATTATTATATTTCAACGCACGCGTTCAATGAAATTAAATTAAATGCCAAACATATTTTATTGACATTCGATTTCAGTTAAGTTAAAATCGAGCGCAATAAATATAAAACATACTTTTGTACGATAGTGTGCTATGAAACTCTCTTAGTTCGTAATCTTCATTTTCTCAAGAGGAAATCCTTTCTCTCTCCCCCTCCTCCCCCCCTCCTACTTTGCAGAAACAATGATTCCTAAAAGTCTGTAACTAAGAAAGTTCGTAATTAATAAATTGAAGGGCGTTCTCAAAGTCGGCTGGCAAATTAAAACGAGAATAATAGTCCTTAACCCATCAACGGGGGAGTTTCGGTGCGATTAACGAGGGAGAGAACTTCGAGGAAACATCGAGAACAATTATCAAGATTGTGTTTCAATCCTCTGACGATTAAATGATAAATCGGCTTTTGCAAAAGTTAATTACCAGAGGAAGTTCAAATCGCTCGGGAAGTTTAAATCGTGTGAGGATTTGAGACTGCCTTTCGCTGTTACGCTTTGCGTAACACTCATACGACTCATCAAGTTGCGTTGGAATGACGTGCCACGGCACGACGAGAATTTTTTGTTCCAAAATTGTAATACTTTCTCAGTTTTAAGTATATTTATAATATTAATTAATATTTTCACAAGTATATTCATAATATTGATATATTTTCATAAGTATATTTATAATATTGATATATTTTCATAAGTACATTTGTATATTTGTATATATTTTCATAAGTATAATATTGATAATTTTCATAAGTATATTTATAATATTAATATATTTTCATAAGTATATTTATAATATTAATATATTTTCATAATTATATTTATAATATTGATATATTTTCATAAGTATATTTATAATATTTATATATTTTCATAAGTACATTTGTATATTCGTATATATTTTCATAAGTATAATATTGATAATTTTCATAAGTATATTTATAATATTAATATATTTTCATGAGTATATTTATAATATTAATATATTTTCATAATTATATTCATAATATTGATATATTTTCATAAGTATATTTGTATATATTTTCATAAGCATAATATTGATATATTTTCATAAGTATATTTATAATACTGATATATTTTTACAAGTATATTTATAATATTGATATATTTTTGCAAGTATATTTATAATATTGATATATTTTTGCAAGTATATTTATAATATTGATATATTTTCATAAGTATATTTATAATATTAATATATTTTGATAAGTTTATTTATAATATTAATATATTTAATATTATTATATTTTGAAGATAAGTTTATTACTTCTTAATAATTTCTTAATAAGTTTATTTATAATATTAATATATTTAATATTATTATAGTTTTAAGATAAGTTTATTGCTTCTTAATAATTTCTTAATAAGTTTATTTATAATATTAATATATTTAATATTATTATATTTTTAAGATAAGTTGTTTAAAATATTATTATATTAATAAGATAAGTAATTATTGTATACGGTTCGGTCAGTCGTTATGATCCACAGTCAGCCAGCCCAACGTGGTTAAAACAGAAAGCTGGCCTCCCGATTTCAATCGTGAGAAATTCGACGAAGACTGCATTACCCACTTTACTCCGTTCATGCACAATTATACAGGAATTTTCAAAGTTTCAATTAATATGTACAGTAATTTGTATGTTAATATATTTAACCTAAGTTTCAATTAGTATGTACAGTAATTTACATGTTAATGTATTTAACCGATGCATTATAAAAATAATTTTGCAAAAGTTAACTTCCAGTTAACCTGAGTCTACTTCTAATTAATATTCATCTGTAAAGTAAATCGTGTTTTAAAAGTTTCATGTTGAAAATTTATTATCCTCCTCATTTTCGTTTCAATAGATTTTAATACATTTAAACGAGGAATAATATACCCTGGAATATTAACTTTTCACTTCTCAATGATCGTGTATTTTTTAAAAAGAAATATTCATTGCGCATAAACTCTGGTGACTGAACACTGTGATTAGTGTGAGCTTTCATTTTCCAAAAATTCTTGACCTCGTTCTCCACACGACATCCTGGAATTACACTCTTGCTCAAAACTCCTGAGTAACTCCTTTCTGTTTATACTTACATTTTTATTTTATTTTAACATTTAACTTGGTACTTTTATTCTTGATATTCCTATCACGTGTCGCAACATTCTGATATTTATTTTAATATTCAGTGTTTTCAAATTGCACGTGCATCTCATAACATTATGACTGACGATGATCCCAAACCACTTTGCAAACTCCTTGCCGAACAAATTAAAATATTATTTAATTTTTGACACGAATACGAGACACACATTCGG